TTAGTATAATGTAATGTGCGATGTGACATCTGGGATTTATCTGAAACCAGACCTATAATGACACAATATTTGATCAACTCTTAGGGCCAGTGTAACTTATGCTAACTAGTTGCATTTGCTGAAAAAAACCCCCAACAATTTGCATGCTTCAGACACGTTTGCATCTGACAGCATCCATTGCTGTTGGTGAGAAATGAGACTGCTTTTGTTTGCTTCTGTGTGAAATTGAATGGCCATTGTTGTGCAATGGTAGAATGAAAAGCTTGACAAGCGTAACATAGCAATAGAGTAGCACTGAATTTACACTTGTTTAAAATTCACTTATCAGACTCTGTTTGATTGCCTCATGCACTCTTTTTCCAAGCAGCTGAAGCAGACAGCATGACGGGATAGAATTGCTGCAACATCAACAAAGCTATGACTGCGAAGATTACACATTTCATGGAGTATAAAGAGGCTTTCCCTGAAAACCTCAACCATAAAATCTCAATATACAGCATGGAGGTCAAGAAGGTAGAACATTCAGAAGTGGCCCTTCATGGAGCAGTTTGAAACTAAGTGTTGCTTTTAAGTGTATGACCACTGGAACTTTCACCTACACACAATTAAAATTAAAACAACACTCTCTCATACCTACAAGAGGTTATACCATCTTTGTGCTAAGCGACTTTCCATATATTGATTGAAAAGAGTATAATTTGCCTCAGAAAGTAAAGGTGGTAAAAATAGAGAAGGGAAAATATACAGTGAAATAGTTGTCGGACCCTATAGCTCCCCAGTTGCTCTCAGGCTTTTTACTTTTATCTGTTTAATAGAACAGAGTTCAGCAGTTACATCTACCAGATGTTAAACTGAAGGTCAGACTAACTGTTCAAACTAACTGTAGGTGACAAACACACAAGCAGTAGAAAGAGAGAAAAGGCAAAACGGAGAGCGAGCGAGCGTGGGAGTGAAATCATTTAGATGAGGATGTTATGTAATTGTTTCATAACAGATTCAATGATGATCTTCTTGACCAGGCTAATTGCTGCATTAAATGCTGAGTCAAATGTGAAACTTGAGCTCTGAATTAATTCAAGGTTATCCCGCCTAAATAGCCTCACAAATTAATGTGCTAATGAGAAAGACTGTTTGAAGCCCCCTTGTGTGGACTTTGCATCATTTGGGATATTCAGCTTATGACTGAGTACTTTTTTTTTCTGCTGAAACAAAGGCTCTGAAAAATTAAGATTGTTGAAAAGTTGTTTGAAAAGGGCTGAAAGCAAAGCAGAAATTCTGACTTCACTAAGCTCTTTTCAAACAACTTTTCAACAATCTTAATTTTTCGGAGCCTTAAGCATGAAACAGCAACTCGAAGCAGTGAGTGGTATAAAAATATCTATTTCTCCTTTAATCAGTGTCATATTGAGTAGAAGCAGAAGAAGTATAAATAAATAAAAGTGCATTGTAGTGGTCTGCCCTGCTGCCTGTTCAGGGACTATCTTGCTTTTCACCCATTGTCAGTCAAGTTAAACTTTTCTTAGACCAAAACAAATGATGACAGGATGCATGGCCAATTTACCAATCAATTAATCCAAGAATGTAAAACATGCAAACTAAGCTATTACATCTTAGAAATCCAAACTGTTCTGTTTTATAGGGAGATGACTGTTTTTTTTTTTTTTTTTTTTTTTTTTTGTATTTTCCATTTTTGTTATAGATAAAAATAACCAGTAATCCAATTCTGTCTACAGTAGATAAACCATGGCCTTTTCCTAAGTGCATTATGAAAAAAGTCAGTGAATTACATGTGAAGGGCTCTGTTGTCATAAGCATGGGAACTATCGTCACTTCCAAATTTTGCTTCCATAAATAAATAAATACATTTTGATGGTGCATTAATTTGTTCCTAACTGTCTCCAGCAACTGCACAGTTGACTTTTGTTTGATTTCAGTGTCCCCAGTAACCTCTATACTGTATTTATGATCTTTTTTTTTAAAGTACATCTTCAACAGAAAACAAATAATGTTTTTGGAACAGAGCTTTGCCTTTCAGTTAATGATAGTGAGATGATTCTATGCCATCATGTTTGAATGTTAGCGCTTTAATAAAAGTAGTCTTTGCTTACTAGTCTACAAGTGTGCCAAATGTGTTATGCACAGATGTGAGCCTGTAAGAGTATCAAAGAAACAACCGTTTTTGTTTTTGTTTTTTTCTTTTGAGTCATCTCTCCCCATGTGTGATCCAGAGGAGCTCTGTACAAAGGTTATCTGGCGTGTCCTACAAGGAGTGTAACAGGGCCAGCTGCTGGCAGAGGTGCTGTGATGCGGACGGCTGCTGTTGTGTGATGGCTTCACTCAGCAGGGATGAGTAATGGTAAACAAGTGTGGCAGTGCGGTCATAGCTCTGGGGAGGCAGAGCCAGAGGAGAGCTGCAGTAAAATGTCAGCGCACAGTTTCTTCATGGAGTTCACAGACTGGTTTGAGTGCCAATGCAGGATTTCTAAATAGGCAGTGAGTTCCAGATTGGCAACTATTAGGTTAAATTTTTCTGGTGATAATGAGTGTCAGTGGCAATGCCTTATCGTAGAGTTTGATTTGAAGGTCATCTGCATACATGGGAATACAGACACAAGCCACTCCAGTCTCACTAAAAAACAAGACAAGACCTCAGTGGGGATACTTGCCATCCAACTCTATTTCTCCAATGCCATTTTTAGATCATCCTCCGCGTGTAAGCAAATAATTCACATCCTACTTCCACCAGCACAGCCAACCTTTTCCTTGGAGCCAACTCGGTCTCTGCAACTGACATGAGCCAATTACAGTCGTCTGGTTCCAGGAAGTACAGCCATTGCTCTTTTTTAATTTTTCTTTTCTTTTTTTTTTCTCTTGAGCTAATTTGATTCAATGTACTCAGCGAAAGTGTTGCATTTGTCCACTGCACAAAAATATGCATTTAAAATTTTGGCTCATGCTTTTTTTTTGTTTTGGCATCTCTAAAAAATAAAGTTGAAGAAAAAACAACAAAAGTTGGCTATAACAAGGCATAAGCTGTGAAGGGAAAAATTAAATCTCTGTAATTGAACACCCCATGTGGATCGACAGCTGTGTGATGCAGTCAAGTGTGGCTGGCCATGGATGTAATTTGGGGCTGTGCCTGCTGTAACATGCGCAGATAAGAGGGCCTTGTGAAAATGTAAATTCTTCTCTTTTAAAACGGTCCAGCGAAATCCCACCTCCCCTCAGCTCAAACATCTCTACTGGACATTAAAAAAAAAAACAGAGCCTTAGCTGCTCATTATGTGCCAAAAGGCTGCACAGCTTTCTCTGCCTCCTGTGTCTCGAGGATGCTGTTGTGCCATTGGGGGTAGACATCGTTAACTCTTTTAAATCTCTGTCAAACTTTGAGAAAAATGAGTTGATAAAGTCAGGGAATGTTGGTGAGGGGACAAACAAACATCAAATGATTTTTTTAAGCTTTTGCTGCAGTTTTGTGTGACTGCTAACAGGAGATACTGTAACAGAAATGTACCCCATGAGGTGCAATAACAACAGACAGGGAGCGAACACTAATAGCAAAAAGTATTGCATTTGCTGTTAAATGTTCCACTTGTATTGCCGAAGTAACAGAACATAAAAATGTGTAGTTAATAAAAATAATGACAATCTATTTGCTGTGTTACAAGTAGCAACACAGTGTGCTGTTACTGTATGACTTATAATAAATGCACTTTACTAAAGCTAAATCTGAATACTTTTTGATCTTATTAATTGCACCTTCTCTTTCCCTGCTTTTTCTTTTATTACCAGGCACACAGACACCACAGTACTGCTCAGGGTGCTTGCCACCACAGCAACCTAATGAGTTTTCACACTGTCCAACAGTTAGATCGGGCTGCCTTACAAGGACTGGTGATTTGCTGCTTCGTCTCTATCTCTTTATCTCTACAGGGCATTGATACTTTAATCATCACAGAAGCATGGCTTTGAATTCAAACAATTATTTAGGTGACCGTATTAGGCATTCTCACAGCTGGATCTGATTCCTCATATTACATTTGTGAAATGTGTTAAAGGCAATTATACCAAGGAACACATTCATATTAGATATCAGGGATAGGATAAAGCTGCTGTGTTTTTGTTATACCAGCAGTCTAAATTTTCCCAAAGCACTGTCACTGGCTGCAAGACATCATTAGCCTAACTGGTGGTATGAAACACAATGTATAAGCATATCATATTTAGACCTATTAACATATTCTATCAGTATCTGCATCTATATTTATGTTTATGTATGGATTGGAGATTATGACACTGACAAAAAGACAGGAGGCAAAGCTGGACTTGGCAGAGTTGAAGATGATAAGATTTCCATTTGGAGTGACCAGAATGGAAAGGATTAGAAATGAGTACAGTTCAGGCTTAGTCTGTGTTTGGATATGTGCACAGGAGGGATATGAGAATATAATAGGCAAATGATGTTAAATATGCAGCTGCCAAGCCAGAGGAAAAGAGGAAGACCACAGAGAAGATTCATGGATGTAGTGAAGGTGACTATGCAGAGGGTTGTCATATCAAAGGATGCCAGGGATAGGTCAAGTTGGAGGCAGGTAGTCTGCGGATCATCAAAGCTGAAAGAAGTGTTTTTCTATGGATTTGAAGGATTGCTATATGCATTTTAAATATAGCAAATGTTGCACATTTTCATTAAACTGTATTAAAGAAAAAAAGTCTCATGCTTCTATTGGCTCATTAAACACAACTCTATATCCATTGTACTGACCCACATTGCAGGCTACTTGACCCACTCTTCCATCTAGTGTTGAGTACGTGACATTACGTCTGTCATTATAGAGAATTAAATTGTAAAAGGTTATAATAGTCGAACATTAAACCAAAAGATTTATTATGGATAAGAGTAGTTTATGAGACAATAAACGACGGTAGTAGTGACGGATAATATTTTGCTTTTCACGAGGTCAGGGTGCATTAATATTTTGCATTCGGATGAAGTGCGCATGCGCAACAGGGGCCGGATTCTGCTAGAAGGATCAAATGTTTTTGTTTTCGTGCGGGATGGAAGGTAGTTGACAGGTCGACATCGATATCTACGACGGCAAACGTTTCTCAGGTAAACAAAACAACCCTACGTTTCTTGTCGGTGTTTGTATTCATTAGTTGATATCACCTTTTAAGTCGAAGCAGATAGCATGTTTGGGCTACATATGCTAGTAGGTTACCCAATGTTAGCTTTAGTAACGCTGTATTTCATAGCTTCTATTTCATGTGTCTTACAACAGCCTCGTGTTTATTTGGTATAATTTAGAGTATGAGGCCACAGGAAGTTGGAATGGAGCTTAGACGTTAAGATGAGCTAACATAACCGCAGGCATGTCACAACCTTTGATGCTAGTATGTAAACACAGTGCTGATAAGATCTAAACACGCTGCGCATACATGTACACACCTGTTTGACATCGTCTTCCATAAATATCATTATATAACCAAAAATAGCCAAGTTATTCTAAGGAAACTGAAATGGTTATGTTTTCATGTTGCAGGGTACTAGAATATTCCAGTAACACTCCCATTCAGTGGTATTTCCAAATACAGTTTCATACTTTTTCTAAAGTAAAATAAACTGGCAGATATCATAACAGTAAAACATCATTTGACTTTAAAACCTCCAGTGTCACTTGTGGGAGTGTTTCAGGTAGAGTTTTATTTCATTGTATAACATTATGAGGTCAATAATAAGTAATCCATTACTGTAACTATGGTTTCTGCTGTTCTTTTAAAAAGGTTGTCTTACCTTTACTTGTGTGTACTGACAGAGCAGGCAGTGCAGATTCCGTGATATTGTTCTATAAGTAAAAGAACAACAAAGTGTGGTCAGAGTGTTGGCTAGAAAATTGTTTTTGTTCTGTAATTGTATTTTTATATTGCAAATAACTGAGTGTAAGCTAAAAGTGTAAGGAACAGCGTTATATTTATAGGCCTATAAATGACCTGCAGTAATGTAAATGTATTCCAGAGAGAATGGTATACTCAAACAAATACACCCATCCTTTAGAGGAAATAGGTATCATGCTGAAAGACGTGTTTTATTTGGATCACATTTAAACTAACATAACAAGACAGTTGACACTGAAACATATACAAGATATCTGGTATTAACGTCCCAGGGATTGTTTTGGAGTCAATAAAGGAACTCATAGTTGTTCAGTATGATACACTTAGAAATGGAAAAGTTGTAGTCTGCCCACATGATTCAGCTTGTTCTACTGCAGAAGTCACTATAAATAGCATTGGTACCTAAAATGTCTCTTTTGAGAGTTGCAGGCCTAAAAAGCAACATTTTAACCAGTAAGCCTTTAGCTGTTATAAATAAATCTGTAAGGTGTTATGTAGTCTCTTCTGACTTTACGGCTTTCTTTACACAGCTGAATCAACTCTACTTGCAGTGACCTTGTAACAGCCTGCAAGAAGACAAAGCCATGGGGAATACAAGCAGTGAGAGGGCTGCAATGGGCCACGGCGAGAAGGCGCAGCGGAGGGACAGCCGAGGTATCAAAGAGGGTGAGAGGCCAAAAATCCTCATGGATAGCCCAGAGGATGCTGATATTTTTCATGGAGAGGACATAAAGGTAAATTGGGCTGCTCTCTTAGAGGTGCATATCAGGTAGAATTTATAGCCTTCTTGGCCCTGTAGATCTCTTCAAACTCTAATCCTTGTTGATAAATAATATTCTTGTGTATGATGTGCATTTAAGGCACCCTTAGAGAAAGAGGAGTTCCTTGCTTGGCAGCAAGACTTAGAATCAGATGACAAGGCACCAACTCTGGAACGGCCGACAGTCTTTCGCTGGAAAGGAGATGGAAAGGAGGTCTACCTCTCTGGATCCTTCAACAACTGGACCAACAAAATTCCCCTTATTAGAAGGTGAGAGCATGTTATAAATCTGAACATGTTTTTCAGGTTGAATTTCTGGCTGTTTATCTTTTGAGATTTAAACTCGAGTTTTAACAGATTTCTTTTATTCCTATTTGCATATGAGAAAGGTTTACTAGAACAAGCCAAGAATGTGAGTTCTTCTTCTTTGTTAATCGCTGGTTTAACTTACCTGTGTGCCAAATGTTTTCTTTTCTTTTGTTTGTGATCTATCAAAGTCAGAACACCTTTGTGGCAATTGTCGATCTACCTGAGGGGGAGCATCAGTACAAATTTTACGTGGATGGTCAGTGGACCCACGACCCAGCTGAGGTAAGCCGTTACTCTCACAGTCATTTATGACCTGTTGTCAAACAAGCATATTTTACTTTACTTACCTAGACCTCAACACAAAATCTGCAGCAGTTTCAGTTTTTAAAGGCACTGCAGCTTTGCCATTCCTGTAAAGTCTGGGTAGACAAAAGCATATGTTCACTAATGCATTAATATTATCATTACATTATGAGTAATAACTTGTGAGTGTATTAAGGCCACTAGTATAGGTTATGATGAGCTGGCTTCATGACTGACTGCAGGCATGTATCTGAGTCACCTTATCTGATGTCATGCTTTAACAATAAACATCTTTTTTTCTCTCTTCAGAAATATAGTAACAAGTGTATAAAATATTAGCACACACATATGGTAATCAGGACAAATGGTGCAGTGGAGGGCCATGACTAGAGGTAGAGTAGTCATGAGTGGACATTAGTTTAAGAGGCTTAAGTGGTTTGCTTCACATCATGATGCTTGTTAAAGCAAACACTGGCCTGCTATTATATAAAGTATGTCTTTTTGGTCTATACTTTTGAGCTTTATTTGTGAGTTTTATTGTCTCCTGTTTCCTAACAGCCTGTTGTAACCAGTCAGCTAGGCACAGTCAACAATATCATTCAGGTAAAGAAGACTGACTTTGAGGTTTTTGATGCGCTAATGGTGGATTCGCAGAAATGCTCTGACATGTCAGGTGAGTGCTGACAGCCACTGTTTATCTGTGCTTTTTTTTAAACATTTACTGATCCAGACTACATGTCTGGAAAGCAGGGGTATAAAAGTGTTCAAAAATAATCTTCATTCATTTTAAAGACCAACTTTTTTTGTTCCTGCCTTTTTTAATGGATTTCAACATTGCTGTTAAAATCTATAGGTTTGAAAATAATTTAATGTTCTTGTCATACTGTTCCCCCCCCCCCCTCAGACCTTTCTAGCTCTCCTCCTGGGCCATATCATCAGGATGCTTATGTCCCTAAACAGGAAGAGAAGTTAAAATCTCCACCCATTCTTCCACCTCACCTTCTACAGGTCATCCTTAACAAAGACACTGGGATTTCTGTAAGTAGCTGTAATCTGAGATGGATTTGGCTTATTCCCACTTTCCCCTGCCTGCATTTCATAAAAATAGAATAGCCCTTTATTGTCATTGTACACGTACAACAAAATTGTGAATAAAAAATGCATCCACAAGAATAAATAATACAGATCATTTATTTTAAATGTTGTTGTTTTGTTTGTCATTGTTTCAGTGTGACCCTGCACTGCTCCCAGAACCCAACCATGTCATGCTCAACCACCTCTATGCACTTTCCATTAAGGTAAGGTTTCAGGGTGACTTTTAAGATTTTTGTGTTTGATGTTTTTCGGTAGCGTGTGAGAAAACTTGATCGGCTTTGTAAGCATTTTAACAGAAAGTGTGCGCTGCTGATGCTTTTGCTTTTAGCAAGCTTGCACGTTGTTGGCACAGCAGATTGAATCTATGCATTGCCAAAAAGGCTGATAAATGGGACAGAAGAACAGATGAAGGACAGATAATTCTCCTTCTTTCAACTCTCTGACAGGAAAAACAAACTTTACTTGCATTTCAAGATAGCCACAGCAAATGTCTGCATGTCAACAAAAAAAAGGAGTGGAAAACAACTATGTGTATTTTCCATTTCAGGTAGTGGGTGGTCAGATATTCACTTTTTTCCATTTGGTTTCTCTTGTAATGTAGTTAAGTAGTTGTACATGAAGCAGATAAAATGTTGCTGTATTTAGCTTAAACACATTTTTGAATGACTTTATGTTCACTAGTGTGACCTGTGAGAAAAACTTTCATTTTGGGGACAATCTAAGTGGCTCTGTTGAAACTTTACTAATTGTAATTTCTCATCTTCTTAATGACTGTTGATATATTAGTAATGCTGCAAAGTTACAATCTTGAATATGCATCACATTATTTCATTATGTCTTATGTTTGGTTGAGTAATCTGATTTAAAAAATACTTCTGTCCTTTAATAGGTTCTTTAAAACAAACTGTTCAGACAGTTCAATTCTAGAAATTGCAGTGCTTTTAATAGCTTAAAACTTAACTAACAAATAAACCCTTTCATTGTATTCATGAGATGTTGAAATCAAATGCAACAATAAATAGTACAGCAATGTCAAACAAAAATCAGGCATAATATAAAATAGCCTTTACTTGGTCTTCTTGGAAGTCTTTGTTACGTTAGGAGGCAAAAAAAAAAGTTCTGACAGTATTGCTTCTCCTGGATGAGGTAGTGTGTTTATGTGTGTGTTTTGTGCACCTCCATGTGTGTCTGTGTGTTTAAATGTGCTAGTGAATGAGTTATCGTGTGTGTCCGTAACCTTTAAAGGAGCATGTGGTGGCTGCAATGAAGAAAAGTGAGCATATCACCATTCTCAGAACTGAGGTTTGAGGCCACGTTTCCTGCTGCACAAACAGACACTCTGATAGTGTAGATGTTAGTAATTAATGTTAATAGTTAATGTTTAGGATAATTCAGTCTGCAGCCTAACAATCCCAGGTCAGTGACTCAGTGTTACTGGCCTGTGGAAAGAAAAAAGGAAAAAAAGCAAGCTTTTATTTTTATACATTTCTTTTAAATATATAAAAAAAATATATATATATTTACTAAATATATCTGACACATTTCAATAGTAATACAATTTAATTGATATATTTTATTTATAATGTATATTATTAATCTAATGCTTCAAAATAATGTCACTTTATGTCAGAGCTTATTGAAGAGGTGATTTGATGAAGGACTCCCACCATGGGCACCCTTTCAAGTTTGTGAATGTGATAACTTGAGAAGAAGGTGACGCATCACCTTTAAATTGATGCCAAAAGTGTATTTACTAAAAGTTTTCTGAACAGGACTTTCAGAAAACATGACCTCAACTTAAAGGTCAGAGGTCATGTTTTCTGAAAGTCCTGTTTGTTAGGGTGATATTTTCTATATTGTCATTTCTGCTTAGAAACATATAATCATTTATGCTTAGAAATATATAATCATCTGTGTGCTGATAAAAATCATATCCTTATTAGTAGAGCAGGGTGATATGACCGAAAATATTTATCACGATATACATTTGAAAATTTGCGATAACGATATAACTGACGATATAATTGACACTAGACAAAATACTTTACAACTCCACAACTTTATTAGTGCAAAGAACCCCATCAATGTATTTTCACTTAAACAAGCAGCTGTTTTTTATGTGCATTAAAGTTATATAAAAATTTAACAGTGTAAATTCCCTGCTGACAGTTTAACCAAAAGGCATTTCCAGTGGAAATTGGCCGACATATCCTCAGCATAACCATGTATGATATCCACAAAACTTAAAAAGAGGTTATACACATAATACGGTAATATTATGTTGAAGCGCAGTACGTATCACTCCGTGAGGCTCCTGCCTACGATAGCCGTAATGCTCCGACAATCCATCAAGCGGTGCGGGTTCGTAGCTTAGCAAAGTCGTACTGAAACATTTGACAGATTTTTGAGCGCCGTGTACATAAAATCGCAAGGTCAGTAAACACAACCAGAATTCATACATAAGGCACACGGGATTATAAGGGGCTCTGTTGATTTTCAGAAAAATCAAAGGATTGATTTTAACCCTTAAGGACCCACAGTGACACTGGTGTCACTGCCCCTTTACACTTAAAGAAAAACTATTTATAATGGTTTAACTTTGACTTTTAACTAATAAAGTCCCTAAGTGACGTCTACTGCACAAACTAATTCAGTCATGTGATAAGTGAGGCACTCTGGGTGTTCAAGACACCATTTTCAAAGTCTTGGTCCACCTGGTTAGCTAATGAGACCGCTGTGCTAATTTTAAAAACTTTCTTTTCTTTTTGCAAAGGTAAGCTTTTACTCATTCAGCAATTCTAAACTTTAGATAAGATGTCATAGGTCCCTTGTAACCTAGTTTGGTAATATTTCTGAACCAATTTGATCTAGAATCAGTTTGTTAAACATCGCTGTGACAAATATGTCACATCGGGCATTAAACTCCAAATTTTCTTAAAAAAACTGATGTGACATATTTGTCACAAAAAGACAAAAACTGATCATTTGCTTAGTCAGTTTAGCTCATTCAGTTATTTTAAGTAAATTTATTCTTTGTTGTTAATTCTCAGTCATATTTAACTAAATTCAAGCATAACTAATTTTTTAAATTACCTAAATTTGTGATGGAACTTTACTTTAGCTTTGTCGAGGCGTTTTTCAGTTACCCCCCCATTTTTTTTTATCATTTTCACTCTTTTGTAGAATGGATAAAAAGAAAAAATATAGTGTTCAAGATGCGCTGGAGTTTATCACTGCAGAGGACAGTGAGTATGAGGGATGTGAAAGTAGCTCAGATGAAGATTCTGAAGACCCTAATTACATCCCCCACAAAGACGTGGAGAGTGATGAATCAAGTGAAT